TGTAAAATACTTTCTGCCTTCAAAGTTAGCTTGCAGAGTTTTCTAGTTTTTTTTTTTTTTTTTAGACAGCATCTTGCTCTGTTACCCAGGCTGGAGTGCAGTAGCATGATCTGCAACCTCAGCCTCCTGGGTTCAAGCAATTCTCATGCCTCAGCCTCCTGAGTAGCTGGGATTACAGGTGCCTGTCACCACGCCCAGCTATTTTTTTTTTTTTAATTTTTAGTAGAAACAGGGTTTCACTGTGTTTGTCAGGTTGGTCTTCAACTCCTGACTCAAGCAATCCACTTGCCTTGGCCTCCCAAAGTGCTAGGATTACAGGTGTGAGCCATTGTGCCCAGCCTAGAGTTTTATTATTTATTTATTTATTTATTTATTTATTTATTTATTCATTCATTTATTCATTCATTCATTCATTCATTCATTTATTGAGATGGAGTTTCACTCTTGTTGCCCAGGCTGGAGTGCAATGGCGTGATCTCAGCTCACTGCCTCCTGGATTCAAGTGATTCTCCTGCTTCAGCCTCCCAAGTAGCTAGGACTACAGGCACGCACCACCACACCCAGCTAATTTTGTATTTTTAGTAGAGACAGGCTTTCACCATGTTGCCCAGGCTGGTCTCGAACTTCTGACCTCAGGTAATCCACACACCTTGGTCTCCCAAAGTGCTGGGATTACAGGTGTGAGCTGCCGTGCCCAGCCCTTCTTTATTCTTTCTTCATCTCTGGATATGGTGTTGTAGAAGAACATTCTACTTGGAATCACATTTACTTTGGTTAAATTCTGATAACTACTAGTTAGTGTAAACTTGGGCAATTTCTTTATGATTCTTCTTGTATTTCTTCATGGATGAGGTAGGTACAACACCATCTGTACCACCCACTGCATGTGGATGTTAGGAGAATAAGATAAGGTAATGGAAGGAAAGGGCCCTGAGCTTGTAGTCAGTATAAATTATTACTTTTGTCAACCTAAAAAAAAATCAGTAAGTATGTATTTCACAAATGCATCGATCGAAATATGATTTCCAATATAGGTAAAATGTTTTGCACATGAACTCCCCAGGCAATACAAAGGCTGCAAAATATTGACAGTTTGCTGTATAAAATTTGCTTAGAATAAGTGACTTGAAACTTTTTTGTAAAGGTGACTTTTACTACAATAACTGATTTAAGACTGAATACAAACCCAAGCACAAAACATATGCACCGAGTAAATATTTTCTATAGTCTTAAAAGATATATACTATGCCAGAAATTTATAGATATATTAAATTTATTAGTCTTCTAACATTTTACAACCCCATAAATATTTTTGTAGGCCTTCGCATAATTAACTTGACACCACAGTGGATGGGTACCTAATTAACTGAAATGATGAATTAATGTGAATGCTTCTAGTTTCACTTTCTAGTCTGGGTTTTATGTCCTGATTAATAACATGTTTTAAAATTTGTATATAAATTAATCAGTGTCTATAAAAATAAATCAAATTCAAATAAATCATAAAACTTTTAAGGATTGACCTGGTGTGGTGGTTCACTCCTGTAATCCTAGCGCTTTGGGAGGCTGAGATGGGTGGATCACGAGGTTAGGAGTTTGAGACCAGCCTGGCCAACATGGTGAAACCCTGTCTCTACTAAAAATACAAAAATTAGCTGGGCATGGTGGCGGGAGCCTGTAATGCCAGCTACTTGGGAGGCTGACGCAGGAGAATCATCTGAACCTGGATGATGGAGGTTGCAGTGAGCAGGAGCAAGATCACACCATTGCACTCCAGCCTGGCAACAGAATGAGACTCCGTCTCAAAACAAGGCACTCCAGCCTGGTGACAGAATGAGACTCCGTCTTAAAACAAAAAACAAAAGCAAAGAAAAAAACTTCAAGAATTTTTAGTCTGCTTCCATCTCTGCTATATTACTATTTCCTACTGTGAAGATGTTTTGTTGTTGTTTGCTTCTTTGTGAATTCTTTTCAATACAGTTCCAATTTCAATACTGATTTATTAAAAAAAAAAGAGAGAGAGAAAACATCATTCTTTATTTTAGGCTGCAGGTAATAGAAAATAAATCATTAGGCAGTATGTTTAATTGATGTTCAAAACAAAATAAATCATTAGGCAGTATGTTTAACTGATGTTCAAAACCTCAATATATACAATAAACTTCTTAAAGTTTAAGATTAATCCTGTATTGGAGAAAATAATTTGGATCTTTGTATAGTGATAGTTTTAAAATTGAAGATTAAAAAAAGAATAAAATCTAAGGGGTTAATCGTACCAAAAATCAAATGAACAAATCACAACAAGTTATTTTTTGGATCCCACAGACTCATTCTAAAGTTTATATGAAGGGGGAGAGGACTTAGAATAGACAACACAACATTGAAGAACAGTGAAAGGACTAACACAACCAGACTTCAAGACTTATTATAAAGCTACAGTATTCAAGTCAGTGTGGTATTAGTGAAAAAATAGGTAAATAGAGTCACGGAATAGAGAGACCATTAATAGACCCATGCAATTATAGTCAGTCGATCTTTGATGAAAAAGCATAGATAATTCAACAGAAAAAGGATAATCTTTTCAACAAATGATGGTTAAACAATTGGACATCCTTATACAGAAGAATAAATCTAGACACAAATCCTATACTTTTCACAAAAATTAACTCAAAATGAATCATAGACCTAAAAATAAAATGCAAAACTATAAAACTCCTAGGCAACAATATAGGAGAACAGATAGAGGATCTTGATTTGGAGATGACTTTGTAAGTACAACACTGAAAGTATCATCAATTAAAGGAAAAATTATAAGATGAACTTCATGAATGAAAAGTTTATGCTTTGTGAAAGACACAAAGACACAAAGAATGGATAAACAAACTGTGGTATATCCATATAATGAAATATTATTTAGTGATACATGTCAATGAGCTATCAAGCCATCGAAAGACATTGAGAAACCATATAAACAAATCAGTAATTGAAAGTAGTCAATCTGCAGGGTGCCATGTCTCATGCCTGTAATCCCAGCACTTTGGGAGGCCAAGGCAGGCAGATAAGCTGAGGTCAGGAGTTTGAGACCAACCTGGCCAACATGGTGAAACACCATCTCTACAAAAAATACAAAAATTAGACTGGGCGTGGTGGTGGGTGACTGGAATCTTAGTTCTTGGGAGGCTGAGGCAGGAGAATCACTTGAACCTGGGAGGCGGAGGTTGCAGTGAGCCGAGACCACACCATTGTGCTCCAGCCTGGGCAACAAGAATGAAACTTCGTCTCAAAAAACATAAAAAAAAAAAAAAAAAAAAAAAAGCAATCAATCTGAAGAGGCTACATACTATACAATTCCAACTATATGACATTGTGGAATGACAAAACTCTGGAGGCAGTAAAAAGATCAATAGTTTCTAAGGACTGCAGTGGAAGGAAAGGAGAGATTAACAGGTGAAGTACAGAGGATTTTCTGGGCAATGAAACTGTTCTGTATAATACTGTAACGGTGAATATGTGGCATACATCTACCAAAACCTGTAAGTTTACAACACAGAGTGAACTCTAATATAAATTATGGATTTTGATTAGTAACTACTATGAATATTAGCCCATCAATTGTACCAAATGTACTACACTAATACTAAACGTTAATAATAGGGGAAACTACGTATGAGGGGAGAAATCAGGGGGTACATGGAGACTCTGTACTTTCTATTTCATTTTTCTTCAAATCTAAAACTGCTCTAAAAAGTAAAATCTACTAGCAAAAATTTAATGAACAAATAACCATGGAGAAAAACGAAAACTTTTATCTAAATCTTTTTACTATTGTGTGTGAAGAACTGAAATTTGTCCACAGTTGCCTCATAAATATTAAGAGAAAATGAAATAGTTACAATTGGGCCTTTGATATCAAAAGTAGAAATAAATTTCAGTGATGTTCAAATTACTTTGTAACATCTTCTAGTAGTTCTTAAAATGTCTTTTAGATCAAGCTCATGACATAGACATACACATGATTAAAATGAACAATAAAAGTGTACTATCCTTTTTTAGTATATTGAAAACAAAATATTCAGAGCATAAAAATGAGTAAAATCAATCTAAGATAAAAGAAACAGCTTGAAACAGTATTTTGACAGTTTCCACATTCAAAATGTAACATTGGATTATTTCAGAGTATGAAACATTTTAAATGTATTGGATATTGGTTGACTTCTTTTTCCTCAATGAATAATGCATAATTTGGTACAATGTTATCTTCATACATTAAGTGCTAAACAACCACTAAATTCTGAAAGTATTAGTTTATTCTATTACTAGTGCGTGGTAAAAATATCTGTAAATATCAAATCATACTAGTAGTTTGTCCAACAGACTGAAAATTAGTTTCCATTTTAGGAGAGTCTTTAGCCTGGGCGACAGAGAAAGGCTCCATCTCAAAAAAAAAAAAAAAAAAGAAGACAAAGAATTAAATAGTATATAGTCACACATCGTTCCAGTATTTTAATTATATCTATTCTTTTTTTTTTTTTTTTTTTTTTTTTTTTTGAGACACAGTCTCCCTCTGTCGCCCAGGCTGGAGTGCAGTGGCATGAGCTCAGCTCACTGCAACCTCCACCTCCCGGGTTCAAGCAATTCTCCTTCCTCAGCCTCCTGAGTAGCTGGGATTACAGGCACTTGCCACCATGCCTGGCTAATTTTTATATTTTTAGTAGAGACAGGGTTTCACCATGTTGGGCAAGCTGGTCTCGAACTCCTGACCTCAGGTTATCCACCTGCCTCAGCCTCCCAAAGTGCTGGGATTATGGGCGTGAGCCACTGCGCCTGGCCTTAATTATACCTCTTCTGATAGATACTCAGTGATACCTCATTGTGGTTTTTGTTTGTTAAGAGGAAGAGGAATTGGACATAGTTTAAAGCTGAAATGACTCTTAGTTGGGAAAGTCACTTTGCTTATTGGAGCCTCAGTTTTCCTATCTGTAAACATTAGAAAAGGAATGCAAAATATGGGACAGTTTATGACTTTGTGTTTTATCCTTGTGCAGGAGTTATACTAATCTCTGTTACATAGTATTTTAGCATATGTGCTACTGAAGCAAGCACTCACTGTGGTTTAACTTTGCATTTTGCTAATGGCTGATGACATTGCATATCTTTTCATGTGCATATATGTCATGTGTACACACTCTTAAGTGAAGTGTCTATTCATGTTTTGTGCCCATTTTCTAATTAAATTGTTTTTCATCGTTGAGTTTTGAGAATTCTTTCTGTCTTCTAAATAGCTGCCCTTTTTCAGACATGTGGTTTGTATTTTCTTCCATTGTGTAGATTGTCTTTTCATCCTCTTCACACAAGCTCTCACAAAGCAAAACTTTTTAATTTTGGTGGGGTCCATGTTATCAATTTTGCCTTTTATGGATCATCTCTTAATGTGAAGTCTAACAACTCTTCACTAGCTTTATACTTTAAAGACTGTCTCCTATATTTTTTTCTAAAAGTTTTATACTTTTATACTAACATCTATGATTGATTTTGAATAAATTTTTGTATAAGGCTTGAGATTTAGGTCAAGGCTTATTTTCTTGCCTATGGATGTCCAGTTGCTTCAATACCATTTGTTGAAAAGGGTATATTTCCTCCTTGGAATTGCTTTTGCATCTTTGTCAAAAATTAGTTAAGTATATTTATGTAGGTGTATTTCTGGGTTCTCTATTTTGTTCCACTAATCTATAATCCCTCTGTCAGTATCATGGTGCCTTGTTTACAGTCACTTTATAATAAGATTTTATATCAAATAGAGTAATTTCTTCTGTTTTATTTTTCTGTACAAAGATTTTCTAAAAAGTTATTCTAGAGCTGTGTTTTTTTCTGTGTATATTGTATAATGAGCTTGTCTATGCCTGTAAAAATTCTTACTGGGGGCCGGGCGCGGTGGCTCATGCTTGTAATCCCAGCACTTTGGGAGGCCGAGGTGGGTGTATCATTAGGTTAGGAGTTCAAGACCAGCCTGGCCAATATGGTAAAACCCCGTCTCTACTAAAAATACAAAAATTAGCTAGGCACCTGTAATCCTAGCTACTCAGGAGGTTGAGGCAGGAGAATAGCTTAAACTCAGGAGATGGAGGTTGCATTGAGCCATATCGTGCCACTGCACTCTAGCCTGGGCGATAGATCAAGACTCTGTCTCAAAAAAAAAAAAAAAAAAAAAAAATTCTTACTGGAATATTGATAGTAATTGTCATTGAACCCATAGAACAGTCTGGGGAGAATTCACATTTTTTTCAATGTTGAATTTTCAAATCTATGAACATGTTATGTTTCTATATTTGTTTAGGTTTCCTTTGATTTCTTTCAACAGCATTTAATAAGTTTCCACATATAGACTCTGTACAGGTTTCAGTAAGTATATACCTCAGTAAGTACTTCATTTTCATTAGACTGATTATAAATAGTATTATGTTTTTAATTTTGGTCTACCGAAGTTCATTGGTATTATACAGTAAAGTGACTGATTTTTGTGTATTGATCTTGTATTTTGCAATCATGCTGAACTCACGTATTCATTCTAGAAGCATTTTTATAGATGCCATGGGTTTTCTACGAAGACAATCATGACATCTGTAAGTAAGGGCAGTTTTATTTCTTCTATTTTTACATCCTCTCTGTGCACACTCTCTGTTGCACTCTCTCTTTTCCCTCTCTGTTGTGAAAACTGTATATGTTCTGTTGATTGTTTTAAAGTTAACTGATCCTATCCTCTGTTATCTATGACCTACCACTGAACCTATCCAGCAAGTTTTTTAGATTTTTATTATCATATCTTTCAGTTCTATTATTTACATTTGGTTCTTTTTCATAACCTCTATTTCTTTGCTGAGATTAGAAAGTCTTTTTTTGCTATTGCAAGGAAATTTGTAATTGCTTCTAGAAAAGTTTTTGATGACTGCTTTAGAATTCTTGCCATATAATTCCAGCATTTGATTCACTAAGTGTTAGCGACATTAAATTACTTATCTCATTCAAGTTATAATATTCCTGGTTCTTGCTGTGTTGAGATTTTTTTTCTTTTTTTATTATGTCCTGAACATTTTTGATATTATATTAGAAGATTCTAGGCCCTATTTAAATATTTTATTATAGTAAGCAGCTCCCTGTATAGTTGTAACATGCAGTTCCACAGCACTTTTTTTTTTTTTTTTTTTTTTTGGCTGTGGTTTCAAAGATAGTTTCATTTTTAGAGTTTCGCCTTGCTGTTTTGGTCTGCTTGATTTATTTAGTGAGGCTGAAACTCTCCCTGGTCTTTGCTGGTCCTTCTCAATGGGGCAGGAGGGGTTGCCCCATGCTGCATCACCTAGTGTCTCAAGGTAAGGAAAAAGCTTTTCCTGTCTATAAGTAAAAGGTCATGTTCCAGGTATGGCAGCTTGTTTTGACTAGTTCACTTGGCTACTCTCAGTGAGGGAGGGTAGTCTCTAGCATTTCAGGGAAGGACAATGCTTCCTCTGGCTGTTTATTCTTAGTGTGGATCCAGATCAACCCTCTTTGCCAGTGGTACTGGACTTGCCTGGTATTGCTGAGAGAACTCATATGTGATCCAAGAGAGAATGAACCTCCTAGGCATTGGCCAGGGTTACATTTTTGGGGGATGAAGGATAGTAAGATGCCCTGTCCTTATGTTGCTTTTCCACTCCCAGGGTTCCTAACCAGTGTACCTATGTATTTCTAATTTTTAGAGTTACTGTTTGACTTCATTTTGTGTTTTCTCCCCCGAGAGATTATAGTTGTACTTAGCAGATAAGAGCAGGGTAAAATTACTCTACAAAATTATGTCTGGACTCTTATTCTTCTTTAAAAACATCATTTTGGTAGTTATGTAGAGAGTGAGCTCGTTGTTTGTAAAGCCAGCATCCAACTAAATAACTATCATAATATTCAAGGGTTAAGATGTGGTGAAATGTACCACTGCAGATAGAAAGAATATGGTAATTCAAGAGATATTATAATGGTTAAATTAAAAAACAAAAACTTGTGCCCAATAACTTAATGCTTCATTGATATGTATTTGAAGATTTTTGAAAAAAATTTGTGGAACTCTTTCTCTTTAACTTTAAAATAATATTAACAATAATGCAATAAAAACAAAAATCTGTGTTGTTAATTATTGAGTTGTTACTTTGTGATTGACATTGTGCTAAATGCTTAAAATGGAAAATGCCATTTTATCTTCAAATAACAAAAATTGCGTTACTTTTATTTTAGTAATATATTTTATTTTATCCAATTTAGCCAATTCTTCTATTTCTGTTTTAAAGATTTTTTGTGTAAATTTTAAATTGACAATAATTGTATGTACTTATTGGATACAATGTGATGTTTACATATATGTATAAATTGTGGAATGATTATATGGAGCTAATTAATATACATTAATATACTTATTTTCTTGTAGTCAGAACTTTCAAAATATATTCCTTCAGCGAGATGAATACTTAACATATATATTTGAAATGTAATATATATTATGAACTATGATCACTATGCTATGCAGTAGATCTGGAAAACTCATTCTTTTTGTCTAACTGAAACTTTATATCTTTTTTTTTTTTTTTTTTTTGAGACAGAATCTCCCTCTGTCGCCCACGCTGTAGTGCAGCGGAGTGATCTCACAGCTCACTGCAACTTCCGCCTCCCACGTTCAAGCTATTTTCCTGCCTCAGCCTCTTGAGTCGCTGGGACTACGGGTGTGCACCACCACGGCCAGCTAATTTTTTTTGTTTTGTTTTGTTTTGTTTTTTAAATAGAGACAGGGTTTCACCATGTTGGCCAGGATGGTCTCGATCTCTTGACCTCGTGATATTCCCGCCTCAGCCTCCCAAAGTGCTGGGATTACAGGTGTGAACCACCATGACCGGCCAACTTTATATTCTTTGATCAACATCTCCCTATTCCTCCACCCTCCCAACTCTTAGCCTCTAGTAACTACCATTCTACTCTTATTTGTATGAATCAACTTTTTTAGATTTCACAGATGAGGGAGATCATGCAGTATTCATCTTTATGTGCCTGGCTTTTTTTTCTGGTAGCATAACATCCTCCAGGTTCATCCATGTTGTGGCAAATAATCCTCTTTTTAATACTGAAAACAATTCCATTGTGTATATGTACCACATTTTCTTCATCCATTTATCTATTGATGGACACTTAGGCGGATACCGTTCCTTGTTTATTGTGAATAGTGTCTCAGTAAATATGGAGTACAGATATCTCTTTGACATACTGATTTCATTTCCTTTGGATATATGTCCAGTAGTGGGATTGCTGGATCATATGATAGTGCTATTTGTAGCTTTTTTTTTTTTTTTGAACCTCCGTACCGTTCTATGTAATAGCTATAGTAATTTACGTTTCCATGAAGTGCACAAAGGTATCTCTTTCTCAATATCCTTGCCAACACTTACTTTTGTCTTTTTGGTAATAGCCACTCTAACAGGTATGAGGTGATATCTCATTGTGATTTTAATTTGCATTGCTCTGATAATTAGTAACGTTGAGTGACTTTTCACATATCTGTTGGCCACTTATATGTCTTCTTATAATAAATGTTTCTTCAAGTCCTTTGCAGATTTTTTAATTGGGTTCTTTGTTGTCCTGCTATTGAGTTGTTTTAGTTCCTTATAGATTTGGGGCATTAACCCCTTATGAAATTTATGATTTGCAAATATTTTCTCCCACTGTGTAGGTTGTCTCTTCACCTTGTTGATTGTTTCCTTTGGTGTGTAAGAGCTTCTTAGTTTGATATGATCCCATTTGTCTACTTCTGTTTTTGTTACCTGTGCCATTTGGGTTATATTCAAAAGATCATTGTCCAAAACAGTGTCATAAATTGGTTGTTTTCTTCCAATGGTTTTACCACATCAGGTCTTAAATTTAGTCTTTAATCAATTTTGAGTTGATTTTTGTACGTAGTGTGAGATGGGAGTTCAGTTTCATTCTTCTGCATATGGATATCTGGTTTTCTCAATACTACTTTTAAACTGACTGTTCTTTCTCCATTGTGTACTCTCAGAACCTCTGCCAAAAAATCATTTAACCGTAAACGTGTGGGT